TGCTACCCAAACTCTTAAAACAGTATTTGATTTGGGCCAAGGTAGTACAGGCACTCCAGACAGATGGGGGAGGCGGCAGGGAAATTTTAAATAATCCCATAAGGAAACTCTTAAAGAAGTATAACATCCATCATTTTGTCAACAGTGATTTGGTTAAGCCTGAGATTTTAGAGCAGTTCAATAGAACTTTGAAATTTAAAATGTGGTGTTATTTAACTGCTTAAAGCACATTTTAATACATCGATGTAATTCAGCACTTCATCACTAGTTACAACAACCAGAAAAATATGAATTATATATATGAAAAAATATATATAAATGCCCTAGCCACAAATTCTTTAGATGTTTAAGAGAAAAACCAGAAAACTCCACTTTATGGGAAAAAAACAAAAACAAAAACCTATGTCAAAAGTGGTTTCAGGAAACAATAATAAATGAGATATATTTAGTAACAGAAAGTGGTAACCAGGAGACAGCAATCAGCTTACAATTAAAATATCATGAGGATGCAAAGATAGCTGAGTTTTTATCCAGAACAAGAAACAATAACCCTATGTCAAGAGCCAGTACACAGCATAGAAAAAGAAATTATCCAAAGGGACATGATTAGAATGAGATTATTATCAAACGATTGGGCTGACCTGAAAATATTAATAGATGGAAGGTGTTGATGATTCAGGATCACTACATGGTAGAAGGTAGGCAAATGAAAATGTTCTATATTTGAACTATCCGGCAATACTTCAGTTTTACCTTTTACCTGAAATTTAAGGATATTTGATGGGATTTGAGCATACCCAGGTGTCAGAAACTAGAACATTACCCCTGAAGCAGCTACCTTCTGGTATAAAAGGCTATGCCCTCTAGAGCAATAAATATAAGCTATCAACTAGATATATTCATATTTAGAAAAGAACAAATTAGTTCAAGCTATCTCCTATGGTCGCCTCAGAAATTTTTGTATCCTGATTTTAGCTTGTCAAGAAAGTGGAAGATCTCATGAAACATTTTACTGCCAGAACTGGAAGTGGGTCTATCACTTTTACCATATAACTTTGGCCAGGATCCAGTAACAAGATCATATTCCTGGAGCAATTTTGGGAGCTAGGATTGCTGTTTGCTACTGTTTGGTGTTTTTTTTTTTTTTTTTTTTGATTTTAGAAATTCTAGATTTTTTTTCTAGGATTGTAGAATTTTTTTTCTACAGGGTTTTTACTTCTTTTATTTTACATCTGTATCACCTCTCTTTCACACTGAGAATCCTGGTTCTCAATGTCACCAGAAACGATAGATTTTGAATACAGTTACTCATTTGCTTCATCCCATTTTATAATATAACAGGCTTAGAATAACATTATTGGCCGGGCACCATGGCTCATGCCTGTAATCCCAGCACTTTGGGAGTCCGAGGCAGGCGGATCACGAGGTCAAGAGATCCAGACCATCCTGGCCAACATGGTGAAACCCGTCTCTACTAAAAATACAAAAAATTAGCTGGGCTTGGTGGCGGGCACCTGTAGTCCCAGCTACTCGGGAGGCTGAGGCAGGAGAATTGCTTGAACCAGGGAGGCCGAGGTTGCAGTGAGCCGAGATTGCGCCACTGCACTCCAGCCTGGCACCTGGTGATGGAGGGAGACTCTGTCTAAAAAAAAAAAAAAAAAAAAAAAAAATAACACTATTAATAACACAACTACTAATTATGATTACTGAATATTAAACAAAAATGGTTTTGCATATATTATAGCTATTCTTTACTACTCCCCTATTTAAAAAAATAATATCTATTCTTTCAGATCATATAGCCATTACGTACTATAATCTCTCCCTTTAGGTTTTATTTCTTCTTGCTTCTAAAAGTAACTGTATTTTTAATGCCCTTTTCCATTCTTTGAATTGCTCTATCAAGTCATTTTAGATGTCTAACGCTTGCTTGTCTGGCAGATTCCCTCAGAAGTTCTCATGGGAAAAATGTCAAGCATGTCTTTCTAGTATTGTTTCGTTGTCTACAGGGTTTTTCTGTTTTTATGGCCATCTTTTCTTGTAGTTACTTGCATGGTATTTTACTTCAGTAGTTTTTCCGTGTTCATTTTTATGTGCATTTAAAAGAACCACACAGAATTTTTAGAGTTCAAAAATACTTATCTGAAATGAAAAATATACTGAATGAGATTAAAAGCAGAATAGACACTACAGAAGAAAAGACTGGTAAATGTGAAGACATAGCAGTATAAACTATCCAAAATGAAACATAAAAACAGATGGAGAAGAAAACATCAACAGTGTTAATGGCTTGTGGGAAAATTTCAAAAAGATTAAGTTGTGTGCAATTGGAGTCACAGGAAGAGATGGGGGAAAATATTTTAAGAAATATTGAGTAAAAAAAAATCCAAATTTAACAAAAGTAGAAACCTACATATTCAAGAAGCTCAATACTTCCCAAATAGAATTGTGAAGAAAACCACACCAAAGCATATAATAATCATATTGATGAAAACCAGTAATAAAGAAAAAAATATAAATGCAGAGAAAAAAAGTCACATAACATACAGAGGAATAAAGCTAGGAATGACAGCAGACTTCTTAGAAACTACGCAGGGCAGAATACAGTGAAACAATCTTTTTCTGAAAAAAGTCAACCTACAATTTTAAATCTAGAGAAAATATCTGTCAAAACTTGAGGTGATATACATTTTCAGTCTAAAAACTTGAGAGATAGCATCATTAATAAACTACCGTACCAGAACTTGTAAAGGAAGAAATAGAAAAGAAAAATGGCACCAGATGGACACTGGAATTTACACAAACAAATGGGAGCATGGGAAATAGGTCATTGATTTAAAAAGGGAGATTAGAAGAATTGCCATTTCATCCTACATCTGCATTATGTCTAATGATGCCAAAAAAACAAAATAAAATAAAATTGAGATATAAGAGTCCTCTGACTCATGGAAGACAGTAATCTACTCAAATAAACTGGGTGCAATGTAAATAAGAAATAAAAAATATGAGGAAAGCTCTATTTTCCTTGGCCCTGTAGATATTAATAAATTATCCTATTGTGTCTTATGTAACAAAACCTTTTCAGATAAATTATAGTTTCATTTTGAGATCATAGTTTTATAAAAAAGAAATTTAATATTTAAACAGAGATAAGCTCCTTAAAGCCAAAAATTACTATGGAATTTGAAATTACAAGTGAAAAAGCTACTGAAACATTTTACAGGGTGAATTATTGCATAGCATTGGCTGGAGCCCAACAAGTATTAAGCTGTGTACAGATTACATTGTTGAATGCCTGCTGGATAAGAAGTCAGTAAAAGAAATCATAAAAGCTCCAAACATAGTTAACTTTTTGAATGAAATATTTAATTGCAAAAATGAAGACTGGATTGATGTCTACAGAATTGTAATTGTTTCTAAAAACTGGACAAGCCTACAGATTTTGCTGGACTTCCTGTTTTGCTTGTATTTGTCTAGTAGCAACACAAGTAATCATCAAAGATCTTTTATTTGAATACTTGGCATTAAATGCAAGTTGCACTAAAATATTCAAATGTTAAATAAATATTTTGAACTCTTGTGTTGATATTTGCATCAACGGTTCAAAAGTAATAGTGAGTAAAACTGCTAGCATGAATCAAGTCATTGTATTTTTCCTTGAACATACATGCTAATTAAAAAACACAAAAAAAGACAGTTTCATTTAAAAGTGTATTTTAAAAAGCTTACTAAGATCTACTGGTCATGCACAGTAGCTAATGCCTGCCATCCCAACACTTTGGAGGCCGATGGGGGAGAATCCCCTGAGGCCAGGATTTCAAGGCCAGCCTCGGCAACATAGCAAGACCCGGTCCCTACAAAAAATGAAAAGAAGAAATGGCCGGGCATGGTGTTGCATGCCTGTAGTCTCAGCTACTCAGGAGACTGACGTGGGCGAATCACTTGAGCTCAGAAGTTTGAGGCTGCAGTGAGCCATGATTGTAGCACTGTACTCCAGCTTAAGTGACAGAACAAGACACAAAAATAAATATTCATTTTATTGAGTACACATTTTAAAAATATTTTTTTGTGACAAATCGGAAATATGAGTAATGCTGAAGTACAGTATCTTTAGGAAAAGCATTTGTGTAAATCTTTGAGTTGCAAGCTCATATAGGGGCTTTCTCGTAGTTTTAGTTGAAACAGTAAGTATGATTATTTATTCTGATTATTTAAGACATTTTCCTGAACAGAAATGAAGTCTATTACTGCAAGAAAAATAACAAAAATAATTTGATGACAGTGTTTAAAAAATCAAACCACAGCTAACTTTTCTGACTCCTTATAGATAGACCTAGATTTGCCAGACCTGAAGTTTACACCGTGTTTATGTGTTAAGCAGGGAGGATGGTGGTGGTAGTGGTTCATATTTAAGAAAAAGAATACAAAATAAATACAAAATTAGGCGCAAAGTGAGTATTTATTTAGAATGAGAAAACATCAGTGAAGTAATTCAGATACCTTTCTTCTGAGGTCTCTTTAGGCAATTTAACCAGACATGTTTACACAGAAACACTTCAGACTGAAACCTGGCTTCTACTCTGTACCTAGGACCCGTTACTGTTCCCAGAAACTCCCTGCACTTACAAGGTCTCATGAAAGTGAGGGGACCTGAAACTTAAATTTTATCAGCTGCAGAGTAAATCACTCCTACTGTTTCCATTAGAGTGTTTCTGATAATATTATCTGATAGATGTAAATTTAACTAATGAAAATCTTAAAACCTGTGAACTGCTTAATTTTAACAAACTGAAAACACTTGCATAACCAATATATAGCTCAAGAAGCAGAACTTGAATCGCATCCCAGAAACTCTCTTTGTGCACCCTCCACTCACTACATGCCTCCTGTATTGCCCAAGGATAATGCTATACTCATTTCAAATTACTGATTTTGTACTTTACATAAATGGAATAATAAGATATTCTACTGGTTCTGGCTTTTATCTTAACATTTTGAGATTCATCCGTATTTTTTATAGTGGTAGACCATTTCATTGTATTGTATTCCACTGTGTAAATATTAAATTTATTGTCTTTATTAATGAACATTTGAATAGTCTTTAGTTTTTTGCTATTATGAAGTGTTCTATGGACATTCTAATATATGTCTGTTGGTAAACAAATGCATGCATTTTCTCATGGGTATACACTTAGAAGTGGAATTGCTGAGCCATGGGGTATGCATATGTTCATCTTTAGTAAATGCTGCCAAACAGTTGTCCAAAATGGTTGCACTAATTCAGACTCCCACCAGCAGTGTATGAGAGCTGTGATTACTCTACATCTCTGCCAACTCTGTTACTGTCCACCTATTTCATTTTAGCCATTTTGCTAGGTACACAGTAGTATTATGTATGGTTTTAATTTACATTAGGCTGATAACTAAAGAAGTTGAGACTTGGTATCTTCTTTTTTGAAGTGCCTTTAAAAATCTTTCACCTGTTGTTTACCTGCTGACCCTCCAACTGGGTTTCTTAATTTACATGAGGAGTGTTTTATATAATCTGGATGGATACCAGTCCTTTGTCAAACACATGTATTGGAAATACTTTTTTGCTCTGAGTTGCCTAATCATTCCTTTAATGAATAAAGGTTAATACAGGCCAGTTGCTCATTTTAAAAATATTTATTGTTAGAGTATTTTGTCTTTGCCTACATGTAGTAAAGCACTGAGCTTGTCCAAAGAAAGCTATGGCCCTTACCCCTGGCAAGTAATCTGGAAACCCTTGGAATGTCCTGCTTCATAAGTGTATCTCTGTTTACCTGCATGCCTTGGACCATGCCAGCTGTTAGTTCATTCTTGCACTGCTATAAAGAAATAATTGAGACTCGGTGATTTATAAAGATGAGAGGTTTAATTGGCTTATGATTCTGCAGGCTTTACAGGAAGCATGGTGCTGACATCTGCTCAGCTTCTGGTGAAGCCTCAGGGAGATTTCAATCATGGAAGGAGAAGAGTGAACAGATGGGGAAAGCAGGAGCAAGCAAAAGTTGGGGTACAGAGTGCCACACACTTTTAAATGATCAGATCTTGTGAGAACTATCACAAAGACAGCACCTAGCCATGAGGATCTGCCCCCATGACCTACACACCTCCCAGCAGGCTCATTTCCAGCACTGAGGATTATAATTCAACATGAGATTTGGGTAGAGACAAATATCCAAACTGTATCACCAGTCTATGCTAAAACTGTAATTTATGGTTGGGGCCTTGGGTAATGTGGTATCACATTGACCTTTGGAGAGACTGGTAGCTCCAAGGTCAGCAATGTGAGAAGTGAGCCATAATTATGCCATTGATACCCTCCCCACCCCACCTTCGGCCCCTACAAAACAATGGACACCAAGGTGTGGTTGAGCTTCCCTGGTTCCATTGCCACACAGTTCCATTACATCTTTGCTAGGAGAAGCACTGTCTATGCAACTCCACTGGGAGAAGACGGCTGGAAGCTCTGTGTCTGGCCTCTCCTGGACCCTGCCCTATATGCTTCCTCCTATTTAATCTATAACCTTGTGATATACTTTTGATATAGCAAACTATGAGTATAACTTTCCTGAGTTCTGTTTGTCTAGTGAATTACTGAACCTGAGGTGGGGGAACTGCTGCCTATCAAAGGTCATGCAAATGTCATTTTAAGGCTTTGTTGTTATGCACATTGGTTGTGCCATCACTCTAGACGCACTATTTGTGTACAGTGTGGTATATGAATTGGAAGTCAAGATACATTTTTTCCCTATGTGACATTCACTTGACCTTGCATCATTCATTGAAAACACCACCTTTTCTCACTGCATTGATGTCACTTTTGCCATAAATCAGCTGATCTGTATGTGTTTCTATATTATTTTCTATTCTGTTCTATTAGTTCATCTTTCTGTTTTGAACAAATGTCTTATTACTAATTATTTATAATGGTACTTCAAATCCATTAAATCTTCCAGCTGCATTCTCTTTCAATATTGGCTTGGCTCTTTGTGGACTTTTGTATATCTATGTGAATTTTTTTTAATGTTTTTAATTTTTTTTTTTTTTTTAAGATAGAGTCATGCTTTGTCACCCAGGCTGGAGTGCATGGTGTGATTTTGGCTCACTGCAATCTCTGTCTCTCAGGCTCAAGCAGTCATTCCACCTCAGCCTCCTGAGTAGCTGGAACTACAGGCAGGTGCCACCACCTCTTGCTATTTTTTTATTTATTTTTTATTTATTTTTTTTTTGTAGAGACTGGGTGTCACTATATAGCCCAAGCTGATATTGAACTCCTGGGCTCAAGTGATCTGCCCACCTCGGCCTCCCAAAGTGCTGGGATTACAGGTGTGGGCCATTGTGCTCAGCCAGCTTGTCAATATATATTTTTTAACCTGCTGGAATTTTGAGGAGGGTTATATTGAATTATAAATTAACATGTTTACATCAGATATCTTTACAGTATTAAATCCAGGAATCCTTGAACATAGTATATATATTTTCATTTATTTAGATCTTTAATTTCTCTCAATACTGACTTGTAGTTTTCAGGGCATAGACATTGTACACCCTTCCTTCAATTTATTCCTAGTTATTTGAAATGTATAAAAGTAATGCTTTTTTTTTTTTTTTTTTTTTTTGAGACTGAGTCTCCCTCTGTCACCCAAGCTGGAGTGCCATGGTACAATCTTGGCTCACTGCAACCTCTGCCTCCCAGGGTCAAGTGATTTTCCTGTCTCAGCCTCCTGAGTAGCTGGGACTAAAGGCATGCGACACCACACTGACCTAACTTTTGTATTTTTAGTAGAGACGGGGTTTCACCATATTGGCCAGGATGGTCTTGATCTCTTGAGTTTGTGATCCAACCACCTCGGCCTCCCAAAATGCTGGGATTACAGGCATGAGCCACTGCACCTGGCCTATTGTAATTTACATAATTTTTTGTATGGAAAACCCAAAAGAAACTACTGCAGTAGTTAATAGTCATTACTATTAACATAGTAATTTTCCTAAGTGCAAAGATAATATTAAAAAAGAAATTTTATGTCTATATACCAGCAACAAAAAGAAAAATTATGAAAAAGGCTGTTTTATTTGAAAAATAGTTTTCTTTTAATATAGAACTTAAAAGATTTGTGGAATTTGAAAGTATTTTTTTCTTTTTTTGAGATAGGATCTTGCTCTGTCACCCAGTCTAGAGAACAGTGGTAGGAACATGGCTCATTTGTAGCCTCAACCTCTTGGACTCAAGTGATCCTCCCACCTCAACCTCCCAAGTAGCTGGGACAACCGGTGTGCACCACTATGCCTGGCTAATTTTTGTGTGTATTTTTTGTTGAGACAGGGTTTCACCATGTTGCCCAGGCTGGTCTTGAACTCTTGGGCTCAAGTGATCTGCCCGCCTTGGCTTCCCAAAGAGTTAGGATTACAGGTATCAGGCACCATGCCTGGAGGAAAGTTATTTTTAAAATAATGATTTTCTTAGAATTTTCCCTGAAATGTCCTTTGCAATTCATTCCCAGTGTTATGTGAGAAAACAATGTAAAAATGCAATTCATTGGTAGTCATTTTGGTGGGAAGATACATTCTAAAAAATGGACAGACATACACATTATCTAATGATGTAATAATTTTTATAGAGTTCCTTTTAGAACTCCAATAACTGTATTTATTTAATGTGCATACTGATGATGGCAATTAGGGGGTCACTGTATCTCAGAACAGTTAAATATACTATGACATCCCAGTTTAATCCATGAAATTGTTACTTTCAGTTTGCTGACAAGTTCTTACAGTCTGTTCATCTTATGACTAAGTCAGCACAAAATATATTTCATTTATTTATAATTATTCAAGTTTTTTAAGTAGCAGGCAAATCTTCAAGGAAGCCTAATTATAACAAAACAGTATGTCATATTTCTATTTCATTTGATGTGATTTAAATTTTAGTTCCTGATTTTCAAAAAATAATGAGAGCTTTATTATTTCCAAATTATAAAGGAAAAATGTCCTGACTATCAATCTACAGAAAGGCATGGAGCTGCAAAGGACAGAGGAGTAGGAGATGACTCAAATCAGATAGACCAGTGTACCAGTTACAGCTCAAAGATGGGGGACTCTCTTTGGTGAAGACACAATTCTACTGGCCACACTCTAAATAGACTACACTGGATAATAAGACATCTCTATGGCTGGTTCCCTAAAGTTAGATATCTTACGTATTTATCTACGGAGTTTTATAAGTACTTTTGTAAGAAAAAAACAAAAATTGACAGTTCTGGACTATATCATTTTGAACATCAAATACACACTGTATTTGATACCCAAGTGTAACACTTACCTGACCTCTCTCCTAGCTATGGCTGACCTTTAAAACTGGCACAGCTATTAGATTGAAGACTATAGCAGGTCTTTTACCCATACAAGTGGTTTCCATGAAAGGAACCTGGTAAAGATAACTGAGTCAGAAACAAGGCAGCACTTTTGTTATCCAGAAGGATGCTTTTGCTCTGAACAGGCAGCTGCTGTTCTCTGAGATCTCTGGCATGCTTGCCCAGAGAGAAGAGCTGTGTAGTTTCCATCATCCACAGAGGTGGCAGGAACACCATTTGCACAAGTCAGAATGAGGAAAGGATGTGAGGATGTGAGGCTTGAGAGAAAAACAGTTGACAAAGAAAGCAAAATTCTCCTAGTGTATATAGCATATTCTCCTGAAGGGAGTCATATAAATGCAAAGATAACATCTACAGCTATAGGAATTTTTTGTTTGTGCTCTTTTCACATGTACTTTTATCTCACTGTTGCTCACAAACATGTAATGAACTTTGGTATGCATATATATGCCTCCTTCACTGGACTCTGAGAACCCACACACCCAGAATCTTGTACTTGGTTGGAACTGAATAAACCACACTTTTAGAATGTATGCCAACCTTTAAAATAGATGATAATAATGTTAATTTACACCTGTATACATGACTTGCGTTAACTTTTCAAAACATCTTAACAAGTGGGTATGTAAGTACCCTCTTAGTGATGTGTTAATTTTAAAAATATTTGCACATATTATTTTCTGTGCTGAAACAAACTGGAAAAAAAAAAAAACAAGTTTTAAAAATTTACTGAGCAAAAGAAAAATGTGCCTCTCAGGATGATCCTCATCAATGTGGAAAACTCTATAACACTGCATGATATTTTGAATTAATATAAATCATAAATTATAATGTTACAGTTGCATTTGGGCTAATGTGCATTATTCTGACAAGGTCAGAAAACTATATGATTCAATTATTTCAAGCAAAATCATGGTTTTAGTGTATACGTTTGACAATTCTATATTTACAACCAATGAAGCCAATTGTTTGATCCAGAATCTGTTCTAGAAAATGTATCTATGTAGAATTATGGATTTAAAATACAATAAATGCAATAAAATATATTTAAAATTCTATTAAAATGCTAAACAGCTTAAAAAAAAAAAACCCTTTAACAAAATCTGTCCTTAAGGTACATCTCCTAACACACATACATGAGGCAGTTGGAACATAAATGTGACACTGAAGAATCTGGACAGGTGAACTGCACTTGCATCTTTCTCATCCTTTTCCTCTCTGTCTCCCCCATCTCAGCACATGGTGCTAGGATACAAACGGTTGTGTCAGCTGCACCCCCAACCCCTTGTGCCATAATTCATATGTTGAGGCCTAATCCTCAATGTGATGGTATCTGAAGGTGGATTCTTTGGGAGGTGACTTGTGTCCTTATAAAAGAGAACCCAGAGTGATTCCCTTGCCTTCTGCCATGTGAAGACACACCAGAAACATTTATGAATGAGGAAAACACCCAACACAAAATTTGCAAGCACCTTGATCATGGCCTTGGCTCCAAAACTGTGAAAAATAAATTTCTGTTGTTTATAAGTGACCTAGTCTAAGATATTTTTGTTCCGGCAGCCCCAACAGGCTTAGACAAATGGTAATTCTTACGATAGCTTAAGACAAAAACCATGCCATGATACCTGATGCTTGCCTTTCTCTCACATTAAATTTTGTTAGCTCTATGTTTACAATACATCCAGAATGTGATAGGTTTTTAATACCCATCATTTCTAGTTTAGATTATTATAATAATAATCTGAAAATGTTTATTCCTTCAGTTGTTCATCCACCCACCTGGCAACACTACTGGAACAAACCATTTAAACCAGACACTGTTCTGGGTTCGTTAGTACACAGGAAATTGTATTTCTAGCCTTTACAGAAGGAATAACTCTTACCCATCCTGAATCTTACTATAGTGCACTGTCCCAGGACATGACTTCCAGGGCACTAAATAGAGTCAACATGAGAAAATAATTCTAGTAACCAAGTTAAAAAAAAAAATCATTTTCCAAGATGGATTTCCAATGCTTTGGTTCTAAATCCAACTAACTTGGAAAACCTAATTGGTATGTCATTAAGAATATTGTGATGACAGATTACTATCGGTAAACGATTCTAGTCAGAAGGAATAAAATGAAATAAATAAAATTGCTGTATAAACATTCTTTTCTTCAACATAAATGAACAAGATATTTTGGCCCTTACATCTCTAAAAACAAAAAAGAGAGAAAAGTGATTGACTTTGTCTGATTCTAGCAATAAATAGTATTTGTTCATGGAAATCTAATTTTATAAAATGCCTAAGCTTATTAAGAAATACATTTCAATAAAATATTACTTTTTATATTTATTCAAATTGGGATATTTATGTTTTTTTGATCAGCTGAACATCAATAATAGTTGAAATGATAAAAAATTCCTATGTTAACATTCAGACAATTATGATCACAGGATATGCAAAAAATTTAAATACAGTTGTCTGTTGGTATATACCTGGGATTGGTTCCAGGACTCCCGGTATACCAAAACCCTCTCATATGCAAGTTCTGCAGCCAGTCTTGCAGAATCTGCTTACGGTAAAAGTCAGCTGTCCTTGGGTTTCATATCCAGCAACTACTATAGTTCTGATTCTCATCTGGTTAAAAAAAATCTGAGTTATGAGTCGACCCACACAATTCAAACCTGTATTGTTCCTTGTTGTTGGGGGTTGTCTTTTGCAATGTAGGATATTTTGCAGCATCCTTAGCATCTTCCCACTGGACACCAGTAGTACCCCACTCCCTAGTTTATGAAGCCAAAAATGTCTCCAGACATTGCCAACTGTCCCCTGGGAGGCAACAGTCCCTTGCTGAGAACCACTGCTGTAAAGAATAGAATAAGTAATACAATGGAAAACTTTGACTATCAAAATGGATGTTAGTATCAAACCACTATGGTATTTAATTCCATCTGATACATTTAAAACAGTGATAGTTATTGTAAAATGACATTTTACAAGGCACTGGAAATTACATTATTTGCCATTATTTAAAATAATGGTCAAGAACTTTGGATGATCCACTGGTGGAAAGCATCCTGCAGTTTATAGGAAAGGTGAGTAATGTACATTAACCTTCACTTCGATTTTTTTGTTTTTTAGATGCAGTCTCGCTCTGTCGTCAGGCTGGAGTGCAGTGGTGTGATCTCTGCTCACTGCAGCCTCCACCTCCCAGGTTCAAGCAATTTTCCTGCCTCAGCCTCCCGAGTAGCTGGGATTACAGTGTGCGACGCCACGCCTGGCTAATTTTGTAGTTTTAGTAGAGATGAGGTTTCACCATGTTGGCCAGGATGGTCTTAATCTCCTAACTTCATGATCTGCCCGTCTCGGCGTTCCACAGTGCTGAGATTACACGCCTGAGCCACCGCACCCACCCCCACTTAGAGATCTTTTACAAACGCTGATATGAAACTTTAGAACACTATACGTTTATCTCATGTAGTTCTAAGACTTTTTTTCTTTTGATGAATGTATTAAGTTCTTGAAAACTATCTTTCTTGATAAATGTCTAGAAAATGTAACTGAAAATATCAGAGCTTTTAAAACAAATGTAAACTGCTTAGATGCAAAGCAAACATTTTTCAAAATTCAACCTGTGTTAACTAGTAAGTGTGTTTTATTTCCGTGTTTCAAATGATGCCTGTACAATTCCAAGCATCTGGAAGCTGAGAATAGTTTAAGAACTCCAAGACCTATTCCACACAAAGCTGTACAGTTATCTCCTTAATCCTGCTACTAGTTACCTAAATAGTCTCGCTATGCCCCAGTTCTCTCAGCATAATGGCAACTTATATAGCATTTTTATTGTTTTAAATCAATTCTACATATTGTCTACTATACATTGTTTATTAATCGAATAAATTTATGAGACAGATAGAAAAGACGTCAGAAAGAAGAAATTTGCAGTTAAGTAATAATGTGCTTTGTTTACAATTCAGCAGCAGCAGCCTCACAGCTGAACTACAGCACAGGTCTCTAGAACCACCACAACAAACTCCTTTTCATAAGAAAATTTCACTTGAGCTTTTAACTCTATACTGTGTGGAGTTTGGGAATACTTGAAAGCAAGTTAAATAAAATTCCCACCAAAGATGGTATAACCACTCAGCAGAAGAAGCCGAACTTAAGTACAGTAAGTCAATTTCTTCAAAGCTTTCAAGATTATTCCAATTTGTCTTTGTATTCAATGCAAATCATTACAAAATCACGCCTATTTTAAATTTATTAAATTTCTCAAAGACTTTTCTTTTTCAAAATCTTAATTCTTATAAGAATTTGTAAGAAATGCTTGTTACAATCAAACAATACAGAAAGTATTGCTACTTTTGATAACTTGGTATAGATGTTTCTTACTAACTCGCTGTAAAGAGTTGATCTATACATGCCAGTTACCATGATCTTCTAAAAGCACTGTTCAATCCCTAAAATTAACTTGGTAAAGACACAGATGTTTACTAACGTATCAGGAACCACCTGTCCTCTCAGGCTAAAAACGACGTCTTATTTTAACTAAGTGCTAAAAGTCAAAAGCATGATAATAAGATATCTACTAGCCCTACTGCTAAACAATCTGGGTCCCCTGAAACTTATACCTAAACACGGTGCTTTCGTGCAGCATCTGCACCTTACTTTTGCAGTCTGGGGTGACTGAGTCAAGGAGACCCTGCGGAGCACCAAGCAGCCCCGGGTCTCCACGATTACCGCCAAGGCAACGCTTCGACGCCCGCTCCTCAGGGACTCTCAGGGGCGACGCCAGGAAATCCGTCTGGCGGAGAGGAACCGCAGGGCTCCGCGGCCGGGCTGGGACAGCCTTTGCGGAGCAGAGGCAAGCCTGGCGAGCTCTTCCCCACTTCTTCGCGGCGCTTGGGCAGACGTCCTGGCGACATCAGGCCGCGTCATTTCCCCTTCATCCTATTTTCACTTTAACATCGTGGCTTGAGAACTTTTTTTCTGTGCCCACTCCGGAAAATTCTAAATGCTTTTACAGATACAACCTCAAAAATGAAGCTCCATCCAGCCCGCCACCACTCGCGCTTTTCCCACCGTCTTCTCCGCAGGCCCCACCCGCTACTGCTAGGCGCGCGAGCCTAGGGGGAACGCGAGCCCTCGCCGGGCACTCCGGGGCCTCGCCCCGCCCCCAGGCGCGCACCCAACCCATATAAGGCAAGGGAAGGCGGCCGCGCCATCAGAGAAGGGGCTCCAATAGATTTCGCAGTTCATTTCTTCTCCTTCCCGCCTTCCTTAAAGGACCGTTTCCAAAAGGCAGGCACCAGCAAACCACAACACTCATTAAAGATGACTATAAAGTCTTTCTGCTACCAGAGTCCGCGAGTTCAGGCCTCCACCTCAAGAGCTCGAGCTCCGCCCTCATTGAACCGCCCCCACAACCGCTCCCGCGAGCCCGCGCTTACGCTTTCTGGGAGGCGCGCGACGCGCTCGCTCCGCCCCGCCGGTCCGGCCCCAGCCCCCTTCCCTGTCTCTGGAGAGCCAGCGCGTACGGGCAAGGGCGTGTGGCTCTGGGGCGCACGTTGCTACTTGTGGGTGTGAGACACCCAGCTACTCTTCCCCTTCCGCGAGTCCCTCCTTTCCTCGCAGACCCCACTCGCCGTGGCTGGCTGCCGCCGCAGCTCTCGTGCCCACATTGCGCGTGCGCGCGGGCACGGGCGCGCGGCCGTCGGGTCCCTGCGTTCCCTCCCCCTCCCTCTCGTCTATAACTTGGCTGGCGAGGAGGAGGCGCCGCCGGAGTCGGAGGGCGGGGAGCTCGGAGGAGGGAGCTAGAGAGTTGTGGAGACTAGTGACTGGGAGAAGTCGAAGCCTGCTCTGGCCCGCGCCTTGTCGCTCTCCGTCTCCCTCTCTCACACACCTACTCCGCCCTGCGACCCAGACCGCGCGCTTGCTCCTTCTCTCGCCCGGTTCTCCAGTTGGTCGCTCTCCGGATCTTGGCGCGGCGGGGGCGCCCCGGGGGTGCCCTCGCCCTCCCGTTGCGGGCGGGCGGGCGGTATGTGGCGCCTGGTGCCCCCGAAGCTGGGCCGCCTGTCCCGCTCGCTGAAGCTGGCGGCGCTGGGCAGCCTGTTGGTGCTGATGGTGCTGCACTCGCCGTCGCTGCTCGCTTCTTGGCAGCGTAACGAGCTGGCCGACCGGCGCTTCCTGCAGCTCAATAAGTGCCCGGCGTGCTTCGGTACGAGCTGGTGCCGCCGCTTCCTCAACGGGCAGGTGGTGTTCGAGGCGTGGGGCCGCTTGCGCCTGCTGGACTTTCTCAACGTGAAGAACGTGTACTTCGCGCAGTACGGCGAGCCCCGCGAGGGCGGCCGCCGCCGAGTGGTGCTCAAGCGCCTCGGCTCGCAGCGCGAGCTGGCGCAGCTCGACCAGAGCATCTGCAAGCGGGCCACCGGCCGGCCCCGCTGCGACCTGCTGCAGGCCATGCCCCGGACCGAGTTCGCGCGCCTCAACGGCGACGTGCGTCTGCTCACGCCCGAGGCGGTGGAGGGCTGGTCGGACCTGGTGCACTGCCCCTCACAGCGCCTTCTCGACCGCTTGGTGCGCCGCTACGCCGAGACCAAGGACTCGGGCAGCTTCCTGCTCCGCAACCTCAAGGACTCGGAGCGCATGCAGCTGCTGCTGACCCTGGCCTTCAACCCTGAGCCGCTGGTGCTACAGGTAGGCGCAGAGCCAGGGCGGGGGGGCGTCCTGCCGGGAGGGGCCGCGCGTGGGAACCGGAGTAAGGAGAAGTGGCCCCGCCCGCGCTTGCTGCCGGTTCCGACCCGACCCGGGCTGGGCCAGGCTGCAGCTTGGGAAGGGGCGGCTCCAGGGGAGCCCCGGGGCTGCGCAGGGAGGCCGAGGGTGACCCGGCCGATGGAGAGTCTGCTTTTGTCACCTAGACTCGAGCTTATCTCGGATTTGACTGCGGATCCTTCAACGCCAGAGGGAGTGCGTCTCTTAACGCTCCCCAAAATGTCTCTCCAGCGAGTTTCCTTCCGCTCTGCTCTTTGCTTTTCTGCTTTTATCTGCCGGGCCTTGCAGGTCCGTGGCTCAGACTGTTCACGAGTCTTTGGACCTTTCTTAGTTCTTCTGAAGTGTTTTACACCGTGTTCGCTCTTCCCTTTCTGGCGCTAGTGGCTGGCCTAACTTAGGTCTCAGAGTCTTTGTTTTCCCTTATTTACCTGGCAGTCATTTGGACAGCCAATTCGGGGACGGGTTGGGAAGGATAAAGTCGGAGAATGGGACAGTGGTCGGTCGGGGTGGGGCTAATCTGTGAGCCGAACTTTGGGTTGGATTAGAATCAAAGAAACAGGAAAAGTAAGGCAGCTTTGGACTTGGGGCAGGGAGGACTTAAGGCTAGACAGACATTTTCATCCTGATCCTGTGACCTGCCCTATTCATCTGTTAATCTGATTGAAGGGAGATGAAATGTTAGGCCAGGGCGAGTATCAGGGAAGGAGATTCTTGCCTTTTGCCAATTGCGTTATTTGCAATAACTTTATTTTGAAAAGTAATGTGGTTTTAGGGGAATAGGATGAAATCTTTTTACTGGTGACAGCAAAAAGAGAACGAAAAACAAAAACACTGTTTACTTTCGGAGTATTTACTTGTTTCTGCCATTCCCACCCGGCTTCAGTGCGGTGTCCTTGGATAGTGATTTACAGTTGTGGGGTTGTGATTTCTCCTTCTGTCTGCAGAAAAGTTACTGTGCTCCTTTCCATGACACTTTTGCTGTTATTTCAAATACAAGAGAGAAAAATTAAAGTTCACAAGTAATTTTGGTATACTTCACATTCCTTCTGAGTTGCTAAGAATGCCATTGAGAGCTGGAGGTTTATACAGGGTGGTTTTTTTGGTGTTTTTTTAAAATCTAAAAGGCATGAACAGGAAAATGCAGATTTATTTATATTTCTTTTCTCAAGCTCTACACTGTTCATTTTAGCTAAAAGAAATCAGCTTCGTTTCGTTAGTTTAGCTAAATAATGTAACACAAATATTTTGCCTCAAATGAAACTTTAGTGTGGGTCTTAGTAAATTTTAGGACATCAGGGGCTATGTGTATTGGGTTAATTTTAAAGTCAGAGTGTGTATTAAAACTGCTGCATCTCCTAACTGAATGGATGCATAAAACTGGTTAAACTTTCCTTGAAGAAATTTGCTTAATTCAGTAGTTCCCAAACTAGTCAATGTCTAAAGGTTAGCTTATGTTTATTATGTACATACACTTGAACTGAAGTTTCTTATTAAGCTATCTTTTCAAGAAAAAAAAGCCTTGTTTATATTAGCAAGATTGGTTCATGGAGATCGTGTTAGCAGTTTGCTGAAGTAGATACCCTGACAAATTCTCTAAGACTCAAAAAGTTAGTAAGGAGCTATTTTAGTAATATACATTTATTGTACGTAAAATGCAGGCGTCCGTACTGAAAGATTTTTTATTAGGTAATTTTGAATAGTCATGTATTAGTAACAACTAATATTAGAATCGATATTTTAAGAACATTATGTAGCCAGTTCTTTATAAACGTAGTCATAGCATCTGAATTTGAGAAACTTTGGCATCTGATTTACACTAAGGTAAATTTGTGCTTTGTGTAGAAAGGTTTTATATTTTTTTAGGTTTGAAGTTCTCTTGGCATTCTTAGTTTACTTTGTAGTTGAGATAGTCAAGTGCGCTTGTATCTTGTTTTCTGTTTAACTTTTCCCTCAAACTTACTCATCTGTTCTCATCTTTAGTGATGAAACAGCTTTTTTTGAAAAAACACCATTATTTTCTTATATATTACACACAATGACACAATTGCTCTGAGTGGGTAAATAGATGGGTCACAGGATAAGAATCTGTTTTTAGTATGTGATGAAACATACTCCACGTTTTAGAGTGTAAGATTTGTAAAACGTCTCCACGTTTTAGAGTGTAAGATTTGTAAATTACATTTTTAATTTACACAACCCAGTTCCCAGGAATAGTACTAATACTAATATATGTATCATAATTATAGCTAATTACATACTGTGAAATATAATTTCACAGTATGTAAATAGTACCACTCAGTCATATAGGCATCTTATCTTTTTAAAACCTGATTAACAAGCAAGTAGAGTAAGAAGATATTTTTAAGAGTCTTCATAGAGCTGCCACTTTCTTTGTAGAATCACTTGAGCTTTGGTAAAAGCTAGTGAGTTTGAAAGTCTGAACAATATACTTGAGGATTGATGATTGTATACAACCACCAAAATGAAAGGAATCTCAGTATTCTGTGATCAGGTAAAAAGGTTGCTGTGTAGTAAGTCAAATAATGATGTTCATTACTTCTGTTAGCTAGGAAACTGCATTTTTAGTATTTATACATGTTTCAATAAAACTGTTTATAGCTGCTTACAGTAGTATTGGAATATTGATACTTATAGAAAAACTCAGATTTGGCTGTGTTTTTGCTTCATGTCTTTAAAAAAATATTTTTAATTGTACTAGTGTTTTACAACTTGAAGAGGAACTCACTTTTATTTTTCCTCCAGGAGGGGGAGCTACTTGTCGAATTTTTGGACAGCTGGTGACAAACTAGATTTTCCTTATATTGTCCAAAAATTAACAACTTTAGGGGGAAAGAAAGTCTTTGAACTGACGTCATCAACGTATTCTTAACAAAACTTCCAGTATAGTAAACATGCTTCAAATTAAGCATGTAAAAATTTCTTTCGATAAGGTACTTAAGAAAGAACTGAAAAATACATAGGCACTTAATCTGTTAAACTCACCTCTTCTTATTTGAAAAAAACAATTAAAAAATTGAAGTTTTATGCCTTGAAAGGAGAAGTGAAAGGTATTAAATGTCTTTACCATGTATACACACATACCTTATCTATTTAAGGCTACATAGATTTGTAATATAAATTTCCCCATGTGAAAAGGCATGAGAGTACAGCTTTCTTCCTATTGTTGGATAGTTTCATTAGTTTGCAACAGTTTACCCATAGAATTATTGTCTTCTAAAAAATATTTATATACATCAAGCAACAAGATAATGCGAGTAGTACTTTTATCTTCTACCCTGATAGCCTCTTTTCATCTTCACATTTTTACTTCACTAAGAGGTGTATTTTGGTGCCAATTATGCCGTAATTCTATGGAAGAAAACTGGAGGCAAGGAGCTATGTTGATTTTTATATCATGTAACAGGAATCTTGAAGTATTCAAAAATTGAGATATTGAAGTAACTGGTAAGATGACAAGTTATAATTAGTAAATTTTCTATCAGTATTTGTATTTAATCTATTGAATTTACAGAGAGAGAGAGAGTGTGTGTGTGTTTGTGTATGTGTGTGTGAGAGAGAGAGAGATAGAGAAAGAAAGACTGTCTGGTTTTCTTGAAGTTCAGACAGAATCTCTGACTTTATAACCTGGAAGTAGTGAAGATGGTCTTGTTTGTAGGAAATGAAGAAAGCTCTTTGTTGTTTAGGGGGAAGAGCTGAAAATTTAACTATTTATGGAACTTTATTTGCCTTAAATTTTGTAAATCATGGTTTTAATAGGATTTACTTTATTGTTATGGTATATGACTATCATTAAGCTGTGGCTCTTAAGCTTGCTTTTCTATTCTTATAAATGATATAATACGTGCAAAGCACATCACTTAGTGTCTGATAAATTATAAGCATTCAATAAATGTTAGATATTGAATAAAGGAACTTTTACTGCCTGGTGCTTGATCAGCTGTTTTGAAGCTTGTTTTGGGTATGGATCACCTTAAAACTAATGGTGATTTTGAGTATTGACCATACTTTAGTTATACTGATTTTTTTTCCATTACTTTGAGATAATTTTTTTGTAGAAAAATTTCAGTTAGTGTTGTTTTTGCCTTTAAAAGTAATTTATATAGGGAACAACATGTTTAAGTTCACTGATGAAAATACAGTTTTTGAAGTAAATAAAAGATTATGACTGTTTAGCTAATGGTACGTTAGAAAAGTTGATAGATTTTTACTATTAGACTCACTTCCCTCTTTATAGAATGAGGCTATTGGATTAGATCCTTTTCAGTGCCAACGTTCTGGGGTTTCCAAACCCTTGACTTGAGAAATCTGGGTTTTTTTGTTTTTGTTGTTGTTTTCTTTTGAACTTGACTTTAATGGGTGGTTTTAATTAAGCTCTTCTGAAAGAAGATTGGGAGTTGGATGCTCTCTTTCAAGCCTTTTTTCCTACCCCCAAATTTTTACACACATGAAATCAGATTAAAACAAACCAAAAACCAACAGCTTCTTTTCGGGGGAAATATGTGGAGTTAAGGGTGGCCAAGGATCTTGTGAAGCAATAGTGTGCAAAAGGATGATCCACACTGTGTCTCAGGAGTTTCTTTTCAAACGACAGCTTAGGGAACCACCTACTTGTCTTTCACTGGCTATTGCTTTAGTAACTGCCTTCCTAGATTTTGGCTTCATAACACATTAGAGATGGTTCTTAGTAGAGCAGTTTTTAATCTAATAATTTTTTAAAGTTTTTGAACTTTTTGTGACTTTTCATCTGAGAGTCCATTGACACTTTTGACATTTGAACGCCCTTCAAGATAATCAAACAAAAATAATACAACAATTCTGTGTACCTAAAGTCCAAAAAGGGGGTGGGGACTTTTATTTTAGAAAGACCCTAGAGACAGACAATTGCCCTTAAGAAAGTATCACTTCAGATTCAGTAAAGCAAAGTCATTTGACATCCTGGTCTAGTTTCTGGACATATCTGTATCTTTTGACCATTGTAATTTTGTCCTTTCTGTACTTTTATCTAGTCTTTGAACTATTCTTTATATTTCCACTGCATGAGTTAGCACTTAATTTTCACACATGTTGGGAAATAGCTTGTTTTTATAGGTCTTCTGAACATGGGTGTTCAGTTTCCCAGGGGATTGTCAGACTGGTTTTTATTCTGTTTTTCTGGTTTGTGGTCTCTGGCTTACTTCCTGTATTTCTGTCATTGTTGCTGACTCTTCACAGAATGCTGACTTTTTCTTTCTTCAGCTTTCATTCATTACCTATATATTAAATTACGGCCTTAGAATTTAAATCCTGCATTCTTCAAATAATGTTTGATGAACTTTAGTAAATGATTGTAAAATGATGGAAAATTATTAGTGGTAAGGTGAGGGTAGTATAAAGTGATAGGAAGTTATCTGTGAAATTCTTGGGAGCTCTTTGGATTTATAGCCAAAAGAACTGAATTTGGCTGTTTGTTTTACAATCTATTACAAGGCATTTAGATTGAAACGATGGAAAGACGGTCCTAGGAACCAAATAGCTTACTATGTAGGAGGTAGGTACACAAATGACTAATTATTATTCAACCAATATAATGTAATAAGCCCAATATAAAAGGTATATATATACACTGTCAGATAGTTAGGGAGGGACATCTCATTGTATGGTGGAGGGGACAGTATTGATAGAGCATCCAGTTCACATTCTGTACAACCACAAGGTTGTTGGATGGTATTGAGCAAGTCACTTAATGTTTTAGGTTCTAAGTTTTTTTAATCAGTAAAATGGGGATGTTAATACTTACCTAACAGGATTGTTTTAAAGATTAAAGGAGACAGGATTATTCAAGTAATATCTGTTAAATGTTTTCAGTTGTAAAGCTTTTTACAATGTATTATTTCTTTGAAAATCAGCTTATTCCATTTTTAGACAGCTATAATAGTTGCAAGTTCTTTAGCACATTATGCTGATGGTTTGTCTTAGAAATATAAAAATTATACTTATTGTAGACATTCAAATGTCACCGTCCTTACATATATTATATGTACCTACAGCTATTCAGGCTATAGATTTTAAGAAGAGCAGTTTAAAAGGGGGTTAGGGATTTGTCTCATATAAAGTATAATGAATAGAATGAATATGGTAGGAAAGGGTTTAGATAAGGATTAAGAAAAAGCAAATAGTTTACTTTTTTCTCTGTAAGTCATTATTATAGTTTAATAATTCTGTTTAGTACATTGGTAAATGGTAGTAAAAAAAAGCAGAGGTGAAGTCTGGGTTGTTTATGGACCTTAGACTCTGAGACAGAATCTTAAAAGATTTATAATCTGAAGTAAGTATGATGCTTCGGTGTCTTCATATTTTTTTCTTTCTAGTGCTTTTTTGTGGTTTTAACTCTGAAGTGAAAAGATCTGACACTGATTATGTGACATTGGTCAATAGTGCCAGGAACTGATCTGTACACCCTTGGGACACAGTAAGGGTCAGTTGAGACTAGTACACTTATGTATATTTAAAACTTTTGGCCAAGTGTAGTTTTTTTGTTTTGTTTGGGTTGGGGGAAGGGGAAGCATTTCTTAAGCTATTCTAAAAGATAATTTATTTCTATTAAATTTAGGTTTTTTAAATGTGTTTTGACATCAGTTTCCAATTTTAGATATAGCTGTTGGACACGATATTCAGTAAAATAACACAACCTTACTATTTTCAAGGCATTGCTTAATATTGTTGGAATTTGAGGTGGGTGGAAAATGGCATTCAGAAAATTATTTCGTGAAATAAATGGGACATATGCTGGGCCTTAGAAATCTTGAAATTGTTAAGCTTCTACAGTATTTGCAATCGATTTTGGATGTTATTTAGCAGTATAAATTAAGAAACTACGATCTTATAGAAATTTTAGCAAAAATTCAGTAACCATTAAATCATTCTAGTAATTTTACTATATCTCCCCTCCAGACAGTTCACCAAACTGTGAACACATTAATCTGTCACCAGTACAGTTGACTAATCTCTATGAACAGCTGTTATAACATGCGTTACTACAATGGGATTTCGTTCAAATTTGGGCTTTAAAAAATAACTTTAAAACTTAAGTTAAACCTGTAAACATTTTCTATGCTTTATAACATACACTTTCTAAGAGTGTGTCCAAGCTTAAACCTTGTATTTTTTTTTTTTGTAAAAATGCCTGTTATATAGAAAATAGCTATTCAGATTTTAGATTGTATGTTTTATTAATAGATTTTTTTTGAAGTTAGTTTGTTTATACTAAGAACTTTGAACTTTAAAAAAAAATTAGTCTTTCATGGTAGCACATCTCTATTTACTCTCTTAAGGTAAACTGCAAAGCTGTGTTCCTTTTAATGAAATATGAGGTTATGAATTATTATAAATTATTTTATATTTCCTGTATAAAAGGAATTTTGATCTTTTAAATTTAGGATACAATATTTTTGGTCATGTAGGAGAAAAAAGAATACAAGAACTTTTAAATAGACTTTATTTTAATCTGTTAGTCTCATGTCATTTATTGTTTGTAAATGAGTAAATAAATAAAAACAAAATGTATTCTTTTATGTATCTTTATTCTTATATTACGTGTCCACCTTTTTCATGACTGTGTTATGACATGATAGAATAAAATGGCCTTATTAACTGTAGGATGATGGATACTGATCAAAGGGTGTAACTTTGATATTTTAAAAACTTTTTTTTTTTAGAATAACATAATATACCACAGTATATTGGTTGATTTCAATACGTAAAAATAATCATGAACATTAAGATTTTGACATATATTTGTTTTTCGCATGCCATATAGACCATGCTATGTGTGTTGAAGAGTTCTGTTTGATTCTGTAAGTCCCAGCATGATCTGGCCCTTGCTTCAATCTCCAGATTCCATTACCTCAAGCCTCTTCTTCATTTATTTCACTGAAGCTACTTTGGTCTTTTATTCATTTCTGAGGTGATAACTTTCTGGCTTTAACATATGCCTAAACTGCCCCATCTCCAGTCATCCTAGATGGAGATCACTTAGGGTACGTAATCTTACATTATTTTTTCCAGCATGAGGTTTGCTTCTGGAATGCTTCTATGTAGTATATAAACTTTTACCTTTATAAAATCTGAAAAATTCTTAAACAAATCATAAATAAGCAAAACAAAACAAAAAAACGCCCCAAACTAATAAAGATTGTAAGCCTTTACTTCAACAGAAGGATATTGGCTTGAGGGGTTGTATTGAATCCATTTCAACTCTTGCAAAGATAATTATAGCTTAGCCTGAATTTGCTTCTTACTACCTGTGTGACTTTAGGTAAATCATTTAACACTGTACTGATAAGATTGAACTGGATTTACAATTGAGGTACCATTAAACTCTAAATTTCTTTGAGTTTACATTTCCTTTATTGATCACATAAAATATAATATTTGATTTTGATCTTGAGTAGATTATAGGTTATATCAGCATTTGGAATTTGTTTTGTGCTTATCAATAATAAATTAAAAAGCAACTTAAAATACAATGTGTGTGTTCATGTTTCCAATTTTTAAATTTCTTAGTGCTTGTGGATGCTCTCTACATTTCTTGTAGCATCAATTATTTTAAAAGTTTGATGACTAGTCTATATATTCCATTATGAATTAGAAACTACTAGAGGTCAGTAAAGATGTTTCTCTAATTTAGTAGTTCTTGGCTCTATTTCTTCTTTTTTTTTTTTAATGTACTTTAGGTTCTGGGGTACATGTGCAGATCATGCAGGATTGTTGCATAAGTACACACATGGCAATGTGGTTTGGTACTTCCATCCCTCATCACCTACATCTGACATTTCTCCCCATGTTATCCCTCCCAGACCTCCCCACCCCCTACCTTTGTCCCTCCCTTGTCCCCCCCAACAGAGCCCAGTATGTGATGCTCCCCTCCCTGTGTTTATGTGTTCTCATTGTTCAACACCCGCCTATGAATGAGAACATGTGGTGTTTTATTTTCTGTTCTTGTGTCAGTTTGCTGAGAATGATGGTTTCCAGATTCATACATGTCCCTACAAAGGACACAAACTCATCGTTTCTTATGGCTGCATAGTATTCCATGGTGTATATGGGCCACATTTTCCTTGTCCAGGAAATGTCTATTGTTGATGGGCATTTGGGTTGGTTCCAGGTCTTTGCTATTGTAAACAGTGCTGCTATGAACATATGTGTGCATGTGTCCTTATAATAGAATGATTTATAATCCTTTGGGTATATACTCAGTAATGGGATTGCTGGGTCAAATGGAATTTCTCTAGGTCCCTGAGGAAGCACCACACTGTCTCCCACAGTGGTTGAACTAGTTTACACTCCCACCAACAGTGTAAAAGTGTTCCTATTTCTCCACATCTCACCAGCATCTGTTGTCTCCAGATTTTTTAATGATGGCCCTTCTAACTGGCATGAGGTGGTATCTCAATGTGGTTTTGATTTGCATTTCTCTAATAATCAGTGATGATGAGTACTTTTTCGTATGTTTGTTGGCCTCATATATGTCTTCTTTTGAAAAGTGTCTGTTCATATCCTTCTCCCACTTTTGGATGGGTTTGTTTTTTTTCTTGTAATCTGTTTTAGTTCTTTGTAGATTCTGGATATTAGCCCTTTGTCAGATGGGCAGATTGCCAAAATTTTTTTCCCCATTCTGTTGGTTGCCGGTTCACTCTAATGATTGTTTCTTTTGCTGGACAGAAGCTCTGAAGTTTAATTAGGCCCCATCTGTCTATTTTGGCTTTTGTTGCCATTCCTTTTGGTGTTTTAGCCATGAAGTGCTTGCCTATGCCTGTGTCCTGAATGGTTTTGCCTAGGTTTTCTTCTAGGGTTTTTATGTTTAAGTCCTTAATCCATCTATAGTTAATTTTAGTGTAAGCTGTCAGGAAGGGGTCCAGTTTCTGCTTTCTGCACATGCCTAGCCAGTTTTCCCAACACCATTTATTAAACAGGGAATGGTTTTCCCATTGCTTGTTTTGTCAAGTTTGTCAAAGATCAGATGATTGTAGATGTGTGATGTTGCCCCCAAAAGCCTGTGTTCTGGTCCATTGGTCTATATGTCTGTTTTGGTACCAGTACCATGCTGTTTTGATTACTGTAGCTTTGTAGTATAGCTTGAAATCAGGTAGCGTGATGCCTCTGGCCTTGTTCTATTTGCTTAGGATTGTCGTGGCTATGCAGGCTCTCTTTTGGTTCCATATGAAGTTTAAGGTGGTTTTTCCAGTTTTGTGAAGAAGGTCATTGGTAGCTTGATGGGGATAGTGTTGAATCTATAGATTACTTTGGGCAGTATGGCCATTTTCACGATATTGATTCTTCCTAACCATAGCATGGAATGTTTCTCCATTTGTTTGTGTCCTGTCTTATTTCCTTGAGCAGTGGTTGGTAGTTCTCCTTAAAGAGGTCCTTTATATCCTTTGTTAGTTATATTCCTAGGTATTTTATTCTCCTTGTAGCAATTGTGAATGGGAGTTCGCTCATGATTTGGCTGTCTGTTAGTCTGTTATTGGTGTGTAGAAATGCTTGTGATTTCTGCATACTGATTTTGTATCCTGTGACTTTGCTGAAGTTGCTTATCAGTAAGGAGATTTTGAGCTGCAATGATAAGGTCTTCTAAATATTCTAAATATACAATCATGTCATCTGCAAACAGAGACAATTTGACTTCCTCTTTTCCTAATTGAATACCCTTTATTTTTTTATTCTTGCCTAATTGCTCTGGCTAGAACTTCCAAGACTGTCTTGAATAGGAGTGGTGACAGAGGGCATGCTTGTCTAGTGCTGGATTTCAAAGGGAATGCTTCCAGTTTTTGCCCATTCAGTATGATATTGGCTGTAGGTTTGTCATAAATAGCTTTTATTATTTTGAGATATGTTCCTTTGATACCTAGTTTATTGAGAGTTTTTAGCATAAAATGCTGTTGAATTTTGTCAAAGGCCTTCTCTGCATCTATTGAGATAATCGTGTGGTTTTTGTCTTTGGTTCTGTTTATGTGGTGGATTACATTTATAGACTTGCATATGTTGAACCAGCCTTGCATCCCCAGAATTAAGCCTACTTAATGGTGATGGATAAGCTTTTTGATGTACTGTGCAATCGGCTTGCCAGTATTTTATTGAAGATTTTTGTATCTGTGTTCATCGTGGATATTGGCCTGAAGTTTTCTTTTTTTGTTAAGTCTCTGCCAGGTTTTGGTATCAGGATGATATTGGTCTCATAAAATGATTTGGGAAGGATTTCCTCTTTTTGTATTATTTGGAATAGTTTCAGAAAGAATGGTACCAGGTCCTCTAAAAATAAAGGATGTAGGAAGATTTATCAAGCAAATGCAGAGCAAAAAACAAGCAGGAGTTGCAATACTGGTCTCTAATAAAATGGACTTTAAACCAACAAAGATCAAAACAGACAAAGAAGGGCATTGCAGAATGGTAAAAGGATCAATGCATCAAGAAGAGCTAACGATCCTAAATATGTGGGCACCCAATACAGGAGCACCCAGATACATAAGGCAAGTTCTTAACCTACAAAGAGACTTACACTCCCACACAATAGTAGTGGGAGACTTTAACACTCCTCTGTCAGTATTAGACAGATGAACGAGACAGAAAATTAACAGGGATATCCAGGACTTGAACTCAGATCTGGACCAAGTGGACCTAATAGACATATACAGATATCTCCACCCCAAATCCACAGAATATACATTCTTCTCAGCACCACATGGCACCTCCTCTAAAATTGACCATATAATTGGAAGTAAATCACTCCTCAGCAAATGCAAAAGAACAGAAATCATAACAAACAGTCTCTTAGACCACAGTGCAATCAAATTAGAACTCAGAATTCAGAAACTAACTCAGAACAGTACAACTTCATGGAAACTGAACAACTGGCTCTTGAATGTCAACTGGATAAACGATGAAATGAAGGCAGAAATAAAGATGTTCTTCGAAACCAACAGGAACGAAGACACAACATACCAGAATCTCTGGGACACATTTAAAGCAGTGTCTACAGGGAAATTTACAGCAATAAATGCCCACCAGAGAAGCCAGGAAAGATCTAAAATCAACACCCTATCATCAAAATTGAAAGAACTAGAGGAGTAAGATAAAAAAAAAACTCAAAAGCTAGCAGAAGACAAGAAATAACTAAGATCAGAGCTGAACTGAAGGAGATAGAGACACAAAAAAATCCTTCAAAAAATCGATAAATTCAGGAGCTGGGTTTTTTTTGAAACGATCAACAAAATAGACGGCTAGCCAGATTAATAAAAAAGAAAAGGGAGAAGAATCAAATAGATGCAATAAAAAACGATAAAGGGGTTATCACCACTGACTCCGCAGAAATACAAATTACCATCAGAGATTACTACAAACAACTCTGTACACACAAACCAGTAAACCTTGAAGAAATGGATAAATCGCTGGACACTTGCACCCTCCCAAGCCTAAACCAGGAAGAAGTTGAAACCTTGAACAG